TCTGTAAATCTGAAATGCTAAACTGTAGCTGTTGAGAGGGGGGTGTTGCACTCACATCTACAGAAATACCCCTTATTAATTAATATCCTTAGTTGCTGAAGTTCAGTATCTACTCTGAGTGAGCTGGAATTGGATCGAAAAAAATTTCTCAATATATGTATGAACTAGGGGTTCATTAAGGCAATTGCCTTACGTAAGGGGTGTTGAATCTGATGTTCACAGGACAAGTTCAGTCCAACTAGGGACCCTGTGCAGCCCTCTGGGATTCTCAAAATGGCTGCCTCTGGTTTTTCACTACCGATTGTTTGGTGGTTTCTAGCCCTTTGCTGGTATGCCTGGTATTTGTTCCGGCCCATTTTTGCCTTCAGTCATACTCACTACTAGTACAGTATACCCCCGTGAAGTTGCAGTTCAGCATTTGCGGCCTCAGTCTTTTGCAGAATTTTCTTCGCTGTGCAGCGGCTTTCTCACAAGGAGATTGCTTTCTCTGAGCGAGTCCAAACCAATCTCCTTGCGAGCAGCACAGGTGCACCCGCCCCCACACCCCGGCCCGGCCTGGCCCGGCCCGGCCCGGCCCGCACCGCCTTGGTAGCCTGTGCCCAACACCAGCACCTTTCAACTGGCCCCCTAAAAAGTTTGAGGACCCTTGTTCTAAGGCTTCTGGCATGAACCTGTACCACATTCAACATTCGTGGTTTTTCACAATTTGCGGGTGCTCTAGGATCGCAATCCTTGCAAATTTCCGGGGACTACTGTATATGGCCCCTGAGAGATACTCTAAAATTGAATTTGGTTGTAAGGGTGAAAGAGGCTAGATACTTCTGTTTAAGTCCATTTTTTGATCTAAGTTATCAAATGATCATCAAATAGTATGTTCTCTAAGAATCCTTGTCAGTACTGGGAATCAGAGGGCAGGAGCAACAGACATGTTTGGGGGAGAAGTGAGAAAGGTTAATGTTTGGTGGGTCTTTTCCCCATTTTTCTCATCCTTGTTTTTTGCTGCTGTTCTAAGAATTGGTTTATACATCTAGCAAGATGCTGGTTTTCTCAGTTTGATTCATCATGGGTTTTTTGGTTTTTTTGGGTCTTGCAAAGAACAGAACAAATTTTGCCCCTGGCCCTTCACAAAGTGAAGAATAAAATAAAGTTAGTGCATTAGTGATGGGGATGATTTTTGTTGCTAGCTTCCCTTCATACACTTTCTGTCCCTGATTTCATTAGGAAAAGCACTCAGGTAACTACCGATGATTAAAAAAAAAATCTCCAACAAAGTTGATCTGGCAAACTTTCTATTTTGCCAGTAAGCTTGCAAAATGATAGATAAAGACGGTACAAGCCAGAACCTTCTGCAATCCTGAAGACTGGTTCTATTGAGAACAGAATAGGCCCTGTTGATTCTTATCAATAAAAGTTGCTCACGGTCAGTAGATACTTGTCTCAGCCATGCAGAATTTGTGACATTCTACTTAAATTCAAAATAGGACTGCAGTGAAACAGTAAAGAAGGAGGGATTTTGTACATAATGTATTGCTGGTGATAGGCAAAGACATAGTTACTAAGGCTGGCGTTTGGAATTGAAGGAATGGGTAGGGAAATTTCTTGGAAACATCTACGTTCCAGCTCAGTTCCAATGCCAAATCATTTAGCAAAGTGTTGTTCTTAGACTTGTCTGATATTATAACCACAACCCAGGAGTCTGAAGTATTCACCGTATCTTCTAGCCTGGAAGATGGTTTGCTGTTCTTATTACTAGGAAAATGGACTCATAAAATAGCAAGGAATTGCAAACAATTTTTAAGGATCATGTTGTAAGAGGAGCAGGATGCAGTGGATTAGAAAGTTGTTGATGTGGTTTAAAGGTATCTTCCTTTTGTTTAAATTTAGCAAAGTTATTAAGTGAAAATAATCTATGAATGGATTCAGTGGACCATTTTTATGTTTTTATTACAGTTCAGGGTTTTAATATTTCATTTCAGTTAAGAGGTCTATTAAAGTACGTATTTGTGATTTGACTAGAAGTAGACTACAAACATATAGGCAAGTGTACTAACAACCTTTTCATATGACATGAATGGTAGGCTAATGCTTGAACACTGTTACAAATGGGAGCTGCATGTAGAGGCACTGTTGTGTTCCATTTTTGGCATAGAAATTCATGTTGTAAGAGGGAGAGGCATAAACAGATTGCTTGCTTTTAAAGAAGCTATTGAAGCTTGCTGTGTTCAGACCTGGAATGGGGTTTGATGGGTTGGTAATGAGTCCCTGAAAGGAGAGATGAGCCTCTGAGTTGTTTTAAGGCAGGGGTGTCCAAACTTTTTGCAAGGAGGGCCAGATTTAGTGAGGTGAAAATGTGTGGGGGCCGACCATTCAGCCTGACATTCTTTGAACCATTAACATTAAATGCAAATGAACTATTTTATGAAAGACTAAACAAATAACTTAACTGCACTAATGTGAAGGGTGATACTGAGATCTTGACTGCATTATATAGGCCTGGTCTGGCTCAAAAACAGTGGTTTTGATGCGCAAGATGTCACGCAGGTGAGTCACTTAGTCTCGTCCTCACGCAGTTCTTGTTAATGTTCATAACTGAGAATGTCTTCTCGTACAAGTATGTCGAACCAAACAAGCTCAGCATTTTCTTAGCAAATGTTTGAATCTCTTGGAACCTGTCTTTATCCAGCTGGCGGTAAAAGTTGACAAGAGGGAGCTGTTGGTGCCGACTGCAACACTCGGTGTCACACTGCAGCTCAATGAGCTCCAGCTGCAGGTGGTTTGGAGCGTCATCAGGGTCCACAGAGAAAGGAGATGAAAAAAGTGTGATCTCCTTTTCAATAGCTGCAAAATCCCGAAAGCGCTGTTGAAACTCCTCAGCCAGAGATGAGATGTCTGCTTCATACCTCCTTATTTGCGCACTCATATTGTTCTGGGGAAAACTGGTCATTATTTCCTGCAGCGATGGGAAATGTGTGGTATGGGGCTGCATTTGAGACAAGTGCCTTTGGAAAAGTAGCAGCTTGGTCCCAAAGGCTTTGATATGTGAATATAGTTGGCTTACCACTGCATTTTGCCCCTGAAGGCTCATGTTCAGCACGTTCAGATGTCATGTCAACTAAAAATCCAAAATCAGCCAGCCAAACAGGATCAGATAGCTCTGGCATCGGTTGTCCCTTTTTTGCCAAGAATTGTCCGATTTCCTCCCTAAGAGAGTAGCAGCGCTGCAGTGCAGACCCCCGACTGAGCCATCTGACCTCGTTGTGATACACAACATCTCCGTATTCAGCCTGGATGTTGAATAGAAACTGTTAAAACTGGGGGTGGCACAGGGCTTTGGAGCGAATATAATTAATAGCCTTCATCACCGGTTTCATAACATGATCATATTTCAGATGTTTGGCACAGAGAACTTGTTGGTGAATAATACAGTGGAGTTTTATAGCTTTGCCTCCTTCTTCGCTGACTTTGTTACAGACTAGGGTTGATAATCTACTTCGCTCGCCAGCCATGGCAGGTGCACCATCCGTAATAATCCCAGTGACTTTATTCCACGGTAGTTTCATGTCATCTACGGTGGAACAAACAGAAACAAATAAATCTGTTCTTCTTGTTTGGTCCTTAAGGCTCTGGAGGTCAAGTAGCTCTTCACTCACGTTCATGTCATTGTCCACTCCTCTCAAAAAAATCAATAACTGAGCAGTGTCACATGCATCCGTGCTTTTGTCGCAGGCTAACGAAAAAAAGTCAAACTCCACTCCTTTTGCTTCTAACTGTCTCTTAATATCAGATGAAATGTCTTCAGTTCTCCCTACCACAGTGTTACGAGCCAGGCAAACATTGGCAAACTCTTGCTTCTTCTCAGGACAAATTTTCTCCACCATTTTCATCACGCAGTCTTTAATAAATTCACCCTCAGTAAAACGTTTGCAGTGCTTGGCAATCAGCATTGCCACCTTGTAGCTCGCCTTTGTGGCATTTTCATTTGACTCATGGGCTCTTGTGAAAAAGCGCTGCTGTGCTGTTAAAGCAGCTTCCAGTTCCTTCAATTTTTCGCCGTGTTCGTTCCCAGTTAGCTTGTTGTAGTTAGCATGTTTCGTCTGGTAGTGCCTTTTGATATTGAATTCCTTGAAAACAGCCACAGTCGCTTGGCAAATTAGGCAGACACAGTTGTTTCGTGTTTCAGTGAAAAAATACTCCAATTTCTACTTGTCCTGGAAGCGGTGGCCCTCGCTGTCAACTTTCCTTTTATAGTAACAGTCGCCATTTTAGAAATGGGCACACAAGCCTTGTGTCACAAGGGTCACACGGCGAGAGTGATGACTCAGGTCTACTGCCATCTTCTGGTGAAATATAACCACCAGCCTTGAAGGAGCAGGAGGCAGCAGGGGAAAGCTGCAGGAACCGCTATGTGGTGAAGGGAAAAACGCTGGCCGGTGGGGATGAGTGACAGGCTGAGCCAGCGGGGAGAAGAGGCTGCGAGCTGCTTGAAATTTGAAAATGGGCCGCAATTGGCCCCTGGGCCGGACTTTGGACATGCCTGTTTTAAGGCTTAGATTAAAATTCAAGCAAGATAAAACTGCATACTTATCCCTGCTTTGAAAGATAGGGAAAATGGCTGTATCTCTTGTCCCAAATTCCCTTGCAGAGAATAGTCTTTTGCCTCTTATAAAAGCAGAGCCTATTCAAATGGATGGAGACAATGATACCTGCCAATGGAGATAATAATTTCCACCATTCTGCATAGGGGCTGCTTTGCAAGGCAGTACTGTGGACAAACTCTTTCCCTGCAGATGGATGCTGGGGGGGTGGGGGTGTGAAAAAGCCCTAATATCAAGATTTCTCTTTCCATTGTAAAACCTGTTCAAATCCTTTCGTTTTGCATCTTTACAAGTACTGCAAGCTTTCAAATAGAAAGGAAGTATTACTTTCAATTATTACCTTATTCAGATTTTTGGTACTGAGGAGTAATTAAATGCTTCTTTCATTTTCTTTTTGAAACTCAGATGAAGATGATGATTTCATTAGTAAAAAAACTTCCCAAAAGCCCAAGGAGAATGGGAGATCTGCAAGCATTCCCCTTGTAACAACTGGAGCACCCAAAGCAAACCACAAACCTAAAATAAAAAATAAACCCTTATCTCCTGCAAAACTGACACCAATCTCTGTAACTGATTACTTTGGAACTGGTAGTATCCATAGATCAGAGAAGAAGTTGGTGTCGAGTAAACGAAAAGAGGTGGGTAATACCAGTGGCTATTTTTTTCTGTGCTTATGAATAGGAATGTTTATGAATTTAATGAAAAATGTGTGAGATGCATTTCTGTTAGGTTTCCTTTCTGTAGTAGAGTATCAAAGTAGTAGTTAGTGAATGCCAGAATGAATGATTTTGCTATTGAAATATTAAGTTGCAGCTTAATTTTTATCCTGTTTTAGGGTTTATAGCTAGGACAATTAAACTGACTTACCTCCATTCTTGAACAGCTCTTTTCATGTTTAATATGTTTTTACATTTTATACTTGGATTGATGGATTAATAGCCTGCTTTTGGATCTAAGTCTTAAGAGCTGCCCACAAGATAAAAGTATTATTACATTAAAGTTTAGTACATTAAAAGTTCTTAAAATTAAAGACTAAGCTCAAAGAAAATTGTAAAATTCTATTTTAGAACCATCTTACTTCCTAACAATATATATTGCAAAAGCTTCTAGGAAAAGAGAAGCTTTCATGGCACATGAAAAGGCCATAAAAAAGATTTGGCATATTTCCACTGAGAAAGAATTCCAGTCATGGGGCAACCACTGAAAAGCTCTATTACTAGTCGTGGCTGAGTTTATTAAATAAGGGCTGCTGGATCCTATGGATTAGTGTGTGCTTCTGCAGACCAGTTTTTTTCTAGCAGCATAAGTATAGTCAGTTTACTTGTCAGGAAAGGTAAAGGCAGTAGTGTTGCTGCAAGATAGTTGCTTCAGTAAAGTTAATAGTTGGGATGGACAATTTTTCATGGCACTCCTAAAATTTGCTATCTTGTGATAATTAGACATCCATATATAATCTCAGGAAACATGTCAAATCATTTGACACAAAGGAAATTTCAAAACAAAATGTGCAGAGGATATAGGCTTTCCTCTTAAACTTTTGGAAAGCCAAATGAATGGTTTGTTGGCAAAACAATCCAGGATTAAACCATCTTTCATTGCACTTTTGCTTGCCTCGAACTGCTAGGGCAGATAATGCACATTCAAACCAAGAGCCAATATATAATAGTGGTATCAGACCTCTTCAGCAAACATTTAATTGTTTAACATAAGATTTAATTAATTCCCTCTTCTGACACAAGAAAATAGTGAAAATTATTAGTCAGGAATAGAAACAACTATATACTCCCTTCTCTGCACCTGAAATAGGAAGCTTGAGTTAAGAAATTAAGAACTGAGGGCTGGGTGCTTAACATACGTCAGCCCCAAATCCTAGCTCTTTTGTGCATTCATTTTACCCTTGATGGAACATCATTGGCTGGATTAGGGAATATTTAGAGAAGACTTACTTACAAAATGTGGTTCTCAGTTTCAGCTTTAGATTAATATATTTTGTGCACAAGCCTGTCAATTTTGAATTTTCTCACATCAGAAACAAGTATGTCCTAGTAGGTGTTTTAATATGGCATTTGCAATAGTGTGGGATTCTTACTGATTTATAGATTGCAACATATACTGATGCATCCACTGTGTTTCTGCAATAAAATGTGATAAAGGTCCTTGTAGTTACATTCCCCAGGATGTCTTTTTGAAAACCATTTGATTGCAAGATATTGATATTTCCTTCTGTTCCTGAGAAGTGCAAAGAAGAGCCTTTCAAGGTTTGCATGTTGCTTTTCTTAGGTTCAGGTATTTAGGACGAGGCATTAGGATTTTCCTTCCATTAGTCCATGACACTTGTCTGAATATGGCTACAAATTGAACCTACCTGTGATTCTTCTTTCTTTGTGGTGCAGCGTTCACAAAGCAAGGACTCAACACTAAATGATGAGGCTATTGCCAAGCAACTACAGCTTGAAGAGAATGTAGAGGTAAAATACTTGTTTGCTCTCTAGTTCTTTTAGCTGCCCATTTTTGATTCTGTATGTGGAAGGGTTCTTTTGTTTCATTACAGCTCCCCTGCACAACCTTTCCTTTTCGACTGATTTACCATTGTTCCTGGCCTGCACTCTGTCCTCTCCTTCCTTTCTGTTCTCCATTTTTACCTGAATTTTCTTCCAAAGAGTGACCTGCAAGCTTCTTCCTCAACTGTAGCCCTAATTTTATGGGGCAGCTGAACTGCTACCACTCAAAGTGTATGCAGTTATTTTATTTTACCCTAGACCTTCATCTGCTGGTTTATAATCTGGAGGTTCCAGAGTGCCTACCCAAGACCCAGTTTCAGCATGTCAGAGGCTTCTGGATAAAGTCCCCTTCATGAAGCAGGCCCTCCACATTAGCAATTTTTATCAAATTGTTAATTTGAAGTGGTGATTTAATTAGTTAGATTACTTACATCTAATCCCAACTATAGATGGAGGCTTTTTTTTTTTCCTTTGCATTACTCACTGACCTGACTTCCATTTTTATTGTTGGGTCTGTCCATGTTCAGCTTAACAATGAAAACAGGAAAGATTAATGCTACTCATTGATCCAAATATCCTCTCATGGCTTATGATCACGTAAAAGCAGAGCCTGTGGCATTCTGTTTATAAAGTTATCTGTCTGAATCATGCACTAAGGCAAGTTTTCATCTCATTCTTGCTAAAAGATTGGATTTGGGTAAAGTGCACAGTAGAGCTCTCTTCAATAAACCTCTTGGCAGGAAGAAATTAGCTTCCTTTGAAGAAACAATACTTGATAAAAGGCCGTGAGCAGCAGTTGCTGCTGTTACTTGTATTAGTAAAAAGTTTTCTTGTTTTTCTCTTTACTTTGTTCAGTTGAATAATTGTAAATGGATTCTGAACTTGTATTTGTTCCAACTTCTGATAATATGATTTGTTTGTTGAAGGAGTGTTAGATTAAACAAGGATGGCTTTCTTTAACTCAAAAGTGCCATTTGCAAGAAGACTCATCCAAATGGTAGGGTATAATTAACATTTAGTTTATATCAATGAGGATGAGGAACACCTTTCCCTGATTCTCCTTGGATTAGTTTAAAATAAGCTGGTGGTGTTTCTCCAGATTTCACAAAAAGACTGGGGGTATTATTCCAGACTGAAAAAAAATTCTTCCAGCATTCCTGATCATTGCTCATGCTGGCTGGGGCTGGTGGGAATTGAAATGGAAACTATCTGGGGGACACCAGTTGGGAAAGGCTATCCATGCTGCTGTGAGAATGAGAGTAAAAGCCCCATCTTATTGCCTTCTTGCAAACCTGCCTTTTCTTCCCATTCTACTAAGACAATAGGTCAGATGGGAGAAATGTAATTGTCCCTGTATTCCATGAGGAGTCCTGAGAACAGCCTTTCCCAGTATTCCTGGTCCCTGGGTTGCTGATTTGTAACACTGGGGGTGAATAGAAGAAGGAAATTCCTTCTTCCCTCCTTCTTGTTTATTTGACTTATTTTGATGGTACTCCTCAGCCCCAAAGGCCTTTGAAGCAACATAGAATTAGAATTAAAAAATAGGAAGGGGCTGAAAAGGCCATCCTGCTCAGTGCAGAACTGTAAGTTAAACCATCCCTCTCAGATGACTGTTCCCCTTGAATGCCTCTCGTGTGGGTTAGCCCTCAACTCCCTAGAAAATTGGTTCCTTTGTCATTCTGCTCTAACACTCAAGAAGTTCTTCCTGATGATTAGCTGGAATTTAACTTCCTGTAACTTGAGCCTGTTAGTCCATTTTCTGGACTCTGGGATTATCAGGAAGAGATCCTGGCCTTCCTCTTTCAATAGTTAGATGAATGCAATCCTATCTCCCCCCAGTCTTCTCTTTTTGAGGCTAAACATGCCCAATTCTTTCAATCTCTCCTCATCAGCTTTATTTCCAGTCCCCAGATCATCCTTGTTGCCCTCATCTGAATCCTTTCCAGATTGTCTGTACTCTTATCTTTCTTAAACTGTGGTGCCTAGAACTGGACATAGTACTTAAGGTGAGGCCTAACCATTGCTGAGTAAAGGGGAGCTAGTACTTCACATGATTTGGAAGTGATACTTCTATTAATGCAGCCTAAAATAGCATTTGCCCTTTTTGCAGCCACATCACATTGTTGATTCATAGTCAACTTATGATCCACAACAATTCCAAGATCTTTCTCACTTGCAGTATTGCTGAGATAACTAACCCCATCTTGGAACTTGTATATAATCAGTTAAACACAACAGTTGGTGCCTGTCTATAAAGACATTGCACACAAGGAAAGAGGAATGGATGGGAAATTTGCCAAAATTCATATTCCAAACCAATGAATTCCAAAGTTCAATAACATTGCTTGTGTTGGGCCTCATATCTGTCTTCATTTACAGGCAGGATAAACCCCTGTTTATTAGTAATGCCAATTTCCTCTTGATATGTTCTTTATGCTCTTTACAGATGGAGAGACAGTTACATGAAGATGAAGAATTTGCCAGAACTCTGGCCATGTTGGATGAGACACCAAAAAAGAAAAAGGTAACATTTTATGAAGTAATTGCTCTGTGTAAATACCTTCAGTGTAATTCTAGGAGTGAAGGGTCATCCCACAACTTGCTATAGGTTACAGATTGTTCTGTGGTGGGATTCTTGATAAGTTGATAAAAATTTCTAGGAATTACTCTAGTAGCAGATACTGTTTAATACTGATACTGACTCAATACTGAGATGATTTACAGGGGATCCAACATGAGCATCTCTCTAATATTTCCAGTAAGTTGGGAAAATCTGGTGTCTACATACCTAATAATTCAGAAGTGAAGAAAGTAGGGATAAGTACACTAGGAATTTTAAGGTTTGTTCAAAAGGTTTGAAACCACTAAAATCCATAGGGCTGTGTAATGCTGCTCCAGCCATCCTATTCTGTTCCCTAACCTTCAGCCTAGTTTTCCATTCTTGCCAACAGTCATTCTGCATTCCTTGGCCATAGTGTACACACATTTCTCATTGGGCTGTTTCTGTGCTTCCTCTCCTCCCCATCCTCCCCGCCCAGGTTCTTAAAAAAAATCTTGGTGTTCCATCAAGCTTTGTCTACACAAGCCTGTGGATGCCTTCCCCTTGTGTAGTACTATTCTGGCTGCATAAGCAGTGGCACTCCCAGTCTTTGCATTGGATATAGTGGGAGAGATTATTTGCTTCCTAATCTCGCTCGCTCTCTCTCTCTCTCTCTCTCTCTCTCTCTCTCTCTCTCTCTCTCTCTCTCTCTCTGTGTGTGTGTGTGTGTGTGTGTGTGTGTGTGTGGGGGGGGGGTTATCTTGATTTATTGAAGTTTTGAACGGCAAAGATGGAAACTCTTCAGTATTAAAAATGGGTATTAATTTTAAGGGTATTAATTAATACATAATTATTTGGCTAATAAACACTGCCACATCCTGCAAATATACCCAGCTTTTAGGACATTGGTGCTACCGTTTATGAAAGCAATCTGCACCATAAATTGCACATCTCCAATTTAATCAGTTAATACCTGATTTACATTACTGGTTTTTTAAAGGGCTGAAGTACTGTTATAAAGTGCTTTGAAGAATAATGGTTTTAAAATAGTTGAGATTTTAAGTTCTACTGTAAAACAGCTTCTTATTTACTATTAGTAATAGTTCTCCACAATAGTTATTCATGAAGACATCTTCTAATCTGCTGTTACTCCTTTAGCCTCGAAAAGAACCTGAAGAGAAGCAGATAGCTTCAGTGGACAAAATTAGTACAGATGAAGCAGAAAAGAATAAGCAATCTCACAAAGGTAATTTTTGTTTTGAAAAATGGATTCTCAGCTTGCCAGGATTTAGCTATTTTATGCTTAAGGCTCTCTCTCTCTCTTTTTCCTTCAGTGAAACCTGCCAGTTCATGTTTTGATGCAAAACCTCATTCTGCAAATGATAAAATTAATCTGGAAGCTCATACGGAGTCTTCTGTCAGTACAGAAAGGAAGGATTTGGTAAATAAGATTATGTCATCAAAGGTTAGCTCCAAGTTGGCAGTGCTAAAACAAAAAGCAGACAGTATTAAAATAGAAAATGGGACTCCAGAAGAAGAGAGTATCAAAAAAGAAAGTGTGACTCCAAAAGGAAAAGCACCTACAAAGGAGAAGGTCTCTCCCCAAACATCTAAGGTAGGTTTGAGGAGCACCCTTGAGGTCATTATGTTTGATTGTTACTGTTTTTTAATGCATGCTGATGAGGCATATTTTACCTTGCTGTCAACCGAGATGTACTATAGAAGTGCCTGAATACATATGCATATGTTCTGCCATATTGTGGACCAAGATGCCTATTTTATGCATAAGGTTCAGAAAAAAAGCATGCCAAATGTTGTAGTAGTTATTGTAATTACAGGGTGATTGTCTCCACATCTCATGCTTATCCCGATCTGTTGGGGGCCAGATAGTTGTGTCTGTCTGTTAAGGCATACTCATTTTTTCACATAATTTTGAGCCATACGAAACCTGGTTATAACCCTGTTATATGATTTCTTTCCTTTGTTTGATTTTAAAGTCTGTAAGTCCTGAAGATTCTGAAAAGAAGCGAACCAATTATCAGGCTTATAGAAGCTTCCTCAATCGAGAAGGTCCCAAAGCACTTGGCTCTAAAGACATACCACAAGTGAGTCCAAATGTTTGATATACAAGAATAGTATACACTGTATGTCACTCATGATTGGTACAGTGGTACCTCGGCTCATGAACGCCTTGGTTCATGAACAAATCAGGTCACGAACAAAAATTTCTGAAAAATTTGACTTGGGTCACGAACACTACTTTGGGTGGCGACCAAGATCACAGCCATATCCCCCCCCCCAAGTGGGGAGATGGCCACGATCGCAGTTCCGTTTGTGCAGGAAAGGCGTGCATGATCAGAAGCATCCTGCTGCAGGAAAGACGGGACCAGCAAAGCAGAGCCGTGGGGGAGATGGCTGAGATTCTGCCTGTCTTTCCTGCAGGAGCATGCCTCTGATCAGGCATGCCTTCCCTGCATGAACGGAACTGTGATTGCAGCCATATCCCCCCCGCCCCCCAAGTGGAGAGATGGCCACGATTGCAGTTGCTTTCGTGCAGGGAAGGCGTCATCAGAGGTGCGCTGCTGCAGGAAAGACGGGAGCAGCAAAGCAGAGCCGCGGGAGAGATGGCCGTGATCGCAGTTCCGTTTGTGCAGGAGCACGCCTCTGATCAGGCACGCATTCCCTGCACGAATGGAACTGAGATTGCGACCATCTCCCCACCCCAGTGCACCGTTTGCGCCCATCTCTCCCTCCCCCAGTGCGCCCGTGATCATGCCTGTCTCTCCCGCCCACTCCCCCAGCGCGCTGGGATGACGGGCACCTGCAGGGATGACAGGCGCGATCTTGGACCTGCTGGGGGCACGGGGAGATGGCTGCGCTTGTGCTTGGGGTGGAGGGCTGCAATCTTTGTTGTCACTTTGCTTCACATTTTTCTGATTTAAAAAATGGTTACAGAACAGATTAACTTTATTTACATTGAACCTTATGGGGAAATTTGACTTGGCTCACGACCAATTTGGGTCATGACCAGAGTCCTGGAACGGATTAAGTTCATGAGCGAGGGCACCACTGTATCTCTGCTGTTCTGGTGTGGTGCAAGAACTCTTCCCAGTCTACTCAGACTGTCATTGTTATGCCTGTGTTTGGATCCCCTGCTTCTATTCTCTTAATCCCATGAGGGCCACATGCATTTTCTTCCTGTGCATATACACAGTGTATACATAAAGTCTCAGGTCTTGTAATCTCTGTGGGTGCATTAACATAGTTAAAAATCAGTTGTACTTTTTAACCTATATGGGAATAGACAGAATTTGTGTCTTTCCAAGTTGTACAGAGAAGCTTTCTTGGGGGGGGGGGCGGTTGTGAATGTGAGTGATAGATATATGTATGTGCATACTTTGGTTTTTACATGTGGTATGCTATAAACATGGTTAATTCTGATATTCATACTGCTGGTTTAAAGCTTTAGGTGGCCACTGGGAAATACTAGCAGTTCTAATGTTCACTAGGAAAGCTCAGGAACCACAGGTGTGCCTTGCCATTCATTGTCTGAACAGTGTACCAGTATATGCTAATACTACCAAGAAACACATTTTATGCTTTACCGAATATGGCCTCAATCCAACTATAAACATGGAAATTATATTTAAGAAGTTTGAACATTGCAGCTTTTTCAACTTGAAAACTAGGTATTACCTTAAGACTGTGGATAAAATTATGCAAAATAAATAATAAAAGTAAAGATTATTCTGTTTTCCCTGTGTAAGATATACGGTTTAGAAGGGATGTTTCCAGTTCAACACACCATAAGTTCAAAGCTCTGTTTTTTTCTTGAATGCCTAGCTTCAGAGAATATGTCTTGATTTATTAAGCCACAGTAGTCTGATCTGAGAAGTTGGTTCAAGCACTCACTACAAATCAGGATTACAAGCCATGTTTTAGAGCTTTTCCTGGTGGTTTGTTGGACCAGGAAGTCTGACCTAGTCTATCTTGGGGCAGAAAAATTCTGTTACCAATTCTGTATGGTAGGATTCCCTAGTTCTCACTCTTCTGTTGGAAGAGGTGTAATCCTCACCTTTCATCTATTAACTTGTATTGAACCCTTTCTTCAAGTAGATCAGGGTGGTATACATTGTTCTCCCTTCCCAATAAGCCTGTGAATTCACTGGTCTGAGAGATGATGACTGCCCCATGACCTTTGTAGTCTTTCTAATCAAAGTCCAAAACCTCTTAACTGCTATACCGCAACATAGTGTCTATTGTGTATAACTTTGTGAGTGCAAGGACAATTGTATGCCTGCTTATTTTGCCTGGTGCATTTTCACTTCTTTGATCAGATGGCTCTTTATTTGGACAAACATAAGAAAAAAGATTTTATTTGTATATGCAAAGTAAGTTTGGTACCAGCCATAAGCCAAATTATTTAAGCTGCCTTGAGTTCCTTGAAAGGAAAAGGGTAGAATATAAATACAATGAATGAAAGAATGAATGCTTACAAAGCTGACTTCAAAGTTGCAAGTTGATTTGCAGGGAGCCACCTTTTTACCCATACTGAATCGAAAATATTTTTCACTTGACATTCACAACATATGATGAAAAAGGTCACCATATTTTTATGATTTTTAAAGTAATAACTGGTTATTTCTGATTATCTTGGAACAAAGATGCTGTAGACTTCATAGTTACTGCCATAAACTACTTCCTGTTGCACCATTTTGACTTTTAGGGTGGTGAAAATTGCTTGGAAGGTATGACATTTGTGATCACAGGTGTCCTGGAATCTATTGAACGTGATGAGGCTAAGTCTGTAATTGAGCGCTATGGAGGGAAGGTAACTGGTAATGTCAGCAAGAAGACGAGCTACCTTATTAAGGGTCGAGACTGTGGTATGTCCAAGTGTGAAAAGGTAAGTTATTCTGGAGTTGAATGAGCTAAATATGCTGAAGTGTAATGTGTTGCATTCTTTGTTTAACTATAATTAGAGGATTCTTTCCTCTGTGGCCCATGGATTATCCTCTTCTCCTGGCTGGCCAATCTCACATACCTTTCACATTCATCTTGGGTGGCCTGGTATTTACTTTTTGCAGACCAGGAAATGTAGCTCTTGATCACCTGCCACATGTCAAGGGAGTAATTGCCATGTTCCAGTCTTAAGAATAGAATGCTGCTACTATATCAGATCAAGGTTTTATCTCCAGTTGTGTCCAGCAGTATTTTTGGAAACTTTAGAGTCGGTGCAGTATGGTGATAGCCTGGTAAACACAAATGTACTACCCCTTAATCTCAAAGTCACATTTAACTGTCATTTCTAACAATTATTAATTGACACCATCCGTGAATTTGTCTCACTCTTTACAGTCAGTTAAGTTACTGAGTATTGCCATAATCCATGGCAATGATTTGTGTCATTTATTTATTTATTGTATAAAATTACCTTTTTGTTTGATTCTAGCCAGCTCTTTTTATGCAGCTATTACCAACCTGTCCCTAAGATAAGTTGGATTACAGTGTCCATCTTTCCCAGGCAACAAGACATCTTCAGATTGGTTTAGTTAGATGCTACAGTTATAAAACTGTATATGAAGGAGACAATTCTCTCCTGTCAATGCTGATTCACGTTATATGATTATACAAATTTCTAACATTTACGCCTGGTATCTTTTTTTCTAACCCTCATTATATATACCTAATTCTTTAGCCTTTCCTTTTAAGGAAGATGCTCCAGTTTCGTAATCATGTTAGCTTTCATGTTTTATAGCTTAATAAACTGTATAGAACTTTGGAAGGCAGGTGAGTGGAACTGTTTTATGTAGGGAATAATGAAAGAATTCTGGCACATGTATGACAATAGGCACTTGTTGGCTAGGGAGAGAGAATGGGTCCCTTTTTCTTTCAGATGAATCAAAGGAAAAATGGGATCCTCTCTACCTGCCTGCTTCCCAGGGAGCAGAAAGGGATCTCTTTCTCCTGCACACCCTTCCAAAGAGAAAGGGACAGGAACCTGATTTTCTTCTTTGTGGTCTCTGTGCATCACACATAATGGGTACTGCACCTGCGCAGTGCCTGTTGCTGGCCAGAATACTTAAGCTGCAACCGTTTTTGGTGGGAACTCCACACCCCTCCCCCTGGTGCTATATAAGGCGGAGCGCCCACCATTTCCTCAGTCTTCTTTCAACTGCTGATCGCATTGCCTCGAGCCATTACCTTGTCTTCTCGTACTTACTTGTTTGTTCTAGAATTGTTCTTACCCGTTGAATCCAAATTCTTTTCCCTTGTTTTCCTGGTTACTTCTTCTTACTGTTCTATATTTAAAAAAAAAAGTATTTTTCCTCTTTTTCCTCTTATCGTCACTATTTCCCTTCTGATCTCGATGGCTCAGCGTGCGGCATTTTGAAAGTGTTCGAAATGTGGGCCTAATTTGTCCGCAACAGACCCACATGAGCTCCGACTCCTTTGTCTAGGAGAAGGGCATTGCATCGACAAGTGCAGGCACTGCCTGGCCTTTACCAAACAGGCTAGGAAGAATCGAGAGAATAGGCTGAGAAAGATCCTTTGGGATCAGGCCTTACTAGTCTCGGACGAGCTCGCCACTCAGCCTATGTTGACTGGGCCTTCCATGGTAACCTCCCCTCGACCATCCGGGGGAGTTGCTTCCAAGGAGACCTCTTGCTCCTCCCACTCCTTGCTCAAACAAAAGGAGAAGCAGAAGCATTCCGACCACAGGGATCCGTCGGTCCTGAAAAAGGCCAAAAAGGATAAGTCGGGCAAGGCTACTAAGAAACGTAGGCTTGCCCCGGAACCATGAAGGGACTTGGATTCGACTGCCTTGTCGGTCCAGATGGCACCATTGGTCCCGGCAGCCTTGGCACCGACACCGAGAGAGATGATGCAGGTCACGCCGCCAGGATCCCCACAGAGAGTTGAGCTCATGAACCTGATTATGTTACATCCACCCGAACTGATCGTTCAGGGGTCGATGTCGGATGGGGAGATCCGTGACTCGCTCCCCAGGGCCGACCCCGATGCCATTCTCCCTGGAGGCTTCCAGGAGGACTACGGCGATTGAGCCCGACCAGCAGTGTCGCTCATCGGGACAATCCACCAGGTCATGGGTACCGACGCCGTACAAAGGACTGGAAGCATCGCAGCCTCAATACTGGGGACCACTCCCATACGGCTACTACATGCCAAGGGAAGACGGCCGTCAGTCCCGACAATCAAGGGCAGAGGCCCTGTCTACTTCAGCGCGGACGACCTCTCGCCATCCTCCTTCTCCGGCACATTCATCCTCAAGCCCACCTTACCCATATGACTCAGACTCTGAGGACTCGGATGACTGTTCTACATCTCCTGTGGCAGTTATTTCCACCCAGGTACCCAGGTTGCCCGAGGCGTCCTATGCTACCTTCGGTGAGCTTATGGGTCGACTGACAAGAGCCTTGGAGATCAAGGTTGAGCATCAGCCCAACGTTAATAAGGACAACTTCTATGATACTGTCCATAAGGAACAATCATCCACAATCACCATCCTTCTGATTACAACCTTATGGGAGGCTATGGAAGATACATGGACCGCTCTCGATCAACCGCAGTCGACATCACGGAGATATGAGTCCACATACAAAATTAGAGAGCAAGACATTCCCTTCCTGTTAAGACACCCGAAGTCCAACTCCATCGTGGTCGAATCATCCCAGGGGTGAGACAATAGGGAGCACGTGGCCCCTAGGGATAAGGAAGGAAGGGAAATCGACCTTATGGCGAGGCAAATTTATGTGGAGATGGGTCTGGGCTTGAGAATTTCTAATTATGAGGCGACTGCCAAGGTATCAGTATTTTCTGATGCAGCGGCTGGATGCGATTACCTCGTCCATCCCAGAACAACAATGTGACCTCACTCGAGTTTTCATTCGAGAGGCGATGCAGCTGGCAATCCAGCAGCTCACCACAGCCTGCCATCATGTTGACTGCGATTCCCACGCTCTGGTTGGCTCAGTCGCTCTCCGAAGACATGCCTGGCTACACTCGTGTAGCTTCCCGGAGGAGACCAAGAAAAGGATCAAGGGCATGCCATTCGACGGATTGGACCTCTTCCACAATCGGACAGACCACAAGCTTGAGCATATCTGTAATGCTCGAGCTACTGCCAGGAAGATGGAGTTCCCGGGCTCAAACTGTCGTAAGTGGCAGCAATCTCGATACCATAGATACCAACCTTACCACCGGTACCAGTCACGTCAACAACAATTCCCTCAGTGACAACAGCGGAACCGTACGCAACCAGCTCTCAATAACAACAGGACCGCCGCCGCCAACTCGCTGATAAGAGGCAACGTTGAGGGGCACCGCAAACTGGTCCTCTCTCTCCTATACCCCTCCCCCCTCCTTATGGGGGCCGGCTGCAAAGTCAACTCCCTCTTTGGGAGACCATCACATCTGATAGATGGGTCCTCTCTACAGTCGAATTTGGATACAGAATCGAGTTCAATGTCATTCCTCCTTCGGGTCTGATGTTATACACTGCCCCATCAGAAATTAGCGCAGAAGTATCTCAGTTACTCCAGAAAGGAGCGATCCACCAAGTCTCCCACTTCAATGGACCTTGCGGTTTCTACTCAAGATATTTCACAGTACCAAAGAGAGATGGTGGCTCATGCCCCATACGCGATTTAAGGGGTGTCAATGCCTTTATTACGACTAAGAAATTCCGTATGACCACCTTACAAAATATCCTTCCCCTGATAGAGAGAGATTGGCTCGCGTCCATTGACCTGAAAGATGCCTATTTCCATATCGGCATTCACCTGTTTTATAGGAGATTTCTCCGGTTTACAGTCGGTTCCGACATTTTTGAATACAATGTACTCCCTTTTGGACTTGCCACAGTCCCCAGGGTATTTACAAAGTGTATGGCTCCGATATGTGCTCACCTTCGCCAACGAGGTATTCAAATTTATCCATATTTAGATGATTGGCTTATCGTCTCATCCTCTCAGGACCGTCTCATTACAGATGTTTGCATTACATGCACTCTTCTAGAGGATTTGGGTCTTCTTATTAATACCAAAAAATCCTGTCTCATCCTTCACAGGTCATCAAGTTCATAGGGGCACAACTCAATTCGGTTCGAGCACGGGCATTTTTGCCACGGACCCATATGGACAAACTCTGCTCTGTAGCCCGTCGGGTCTAGAGAAGCGGGCAAATCCAGGCAGTGCTCATACAAAAACTGTTGGGCCATATGGCATCAACTATCGCAGTAGTTCCGAATGCCAGACTACGAATGCAGCGACTCCAGTTGTGGTTCAACGTGGTTTTCCAGCCCCTCCGCATTTCCCCAAGATGGCTTCTTCTTCCTCCTGCTTCAGTTTGCCAAACGTTGACTTGGTGGATGAACCCGGACAATCTCACAGTTGGTGTTCCATTTCACTGGCGACAGCCCTCCATTTCACTCCATACCGATGCTACTCTCACGGGATGGGGAGCACACTATTCCAACTTATGAACACAGGGCACCTGGCAAGCACACAAGAGGCTCAATCACATCAACTTTCTCGAGCTGCTGGCAGTTTTCAAAGCAATATGATATTCGAACCCGTGTTAAGGAACAGTTTGGTACAGGTAGCATCTGACAACACGGTTACCATTTTTTACCTGAACAAACAGGGCGGTACAAAATTGGTACCGCTGGCTCAGCTATCCATGCAGATTTGGGACTGGTGTATCCCCAGAGGGATTTCGCTAACGGCAATCCATCTGGCGGGAAGACACAACCAAGAAGCGGACACCTTGAGCAGGAAATGTCATTGACCCACGCGTGGGAATTGGACAATCAAGTTTGCAGAGACTTGTTTACCCAGTGGAGTACCCTGACTCTGGACCTGTTCGCGACAGCGTCGAATTCAAAGTGCGTGACCTATTGCTCCAGGGCAGGAACGGGTCCGAACTCACTAGGGGACGCCTTAATGGTGAGTTGGTCAGATTCATTCCTATATGCCTTTCTACTGATCCCATTGATCACCCGTACTCTGGAGAAGGCTGCCTGGGACCGAGCATGGCTGATCCTCATTACACCGTGGTGGCCCCGCCAACCCTGGTTCTCAACAGCGCTCAGACTATCAAGACGCACGTTCTTCCGTCTGCCACAAATCCCTCACCTGATCATGCAAGGGAGGGGGACGATTCTTCATCCCGATCTCAACACTCTCAAACTCACCGCTTGGCTCCTGCACTAGTTGCCTCCGTCGATCCTGACAGGCCCCAACAAAGTTCCTCGGTCTCGATGCCAGAATGTCAGTCGGTACCAAGAGAACTCACCCGACTATCCTCTGAAGCTACATCAGCGTGGCAGGAAATTGAATTTATCCTACAGTCCACTCTTTGACAGTCCACTCATCGGTCATATGAGGCGAAATGGAAATGTTTCACCACATTTGCGGGAGCTAACCGTTTTACTCTGGAATCGGCTTCCATCGATAATATCCTTTCCTTCTTGCTTTCATTGCATCAGTCGGGACTTAAACCCACTTCCATCAAGGTCTGTATTGCAGCCATATCGCATTTCCGTGGCCCTCTCTTGGGCTTATCTGTGTTTTCTCATGCACTCATCTGGCGCTTCCTTAAGGGACTACAAAATCTCCATCCTCCGATCCGTCCATTGGTACCGACTTGGAGTTTATCTGTAGTTCTCCATGCGCTCACCAAGGCTCCTTTTGAACCCTTCACAATGACAGTGTTAAGGCTGCTGTCTTGGAAAGTAGCCTTTTTAGTTGCCATAACTTCAAGAAGGGCCTATGTGTGGATCCACCATATCTCAATTTCCACAAGAAAGAAGTAATTCTATGAACTGATCCAGCATTCCTTCCCAAGGTGGCCACACCATTCCACGTTAACCAGGATGTTGTGCTTCCAGCATTTTTCCCATCCCCATCCACTCCAGTAGAGAAATCTCTGCATTCCCTTGATGTGCACCGATGTTTAGCTTTCTACCGGTCATGTATGGAAAGCTTCAGGAAAACTAAGCGCCTGTTTGTCAAATACTCCAAACCCGATAAGGGTGCACCTCTCTCTGCACAAAGACTATCAAAATGGATAGTACAGACTATTGAACTGGCTTACCAGCTGGCCAAGATAGATCTCCCTGTTCCGCCCAAGGGTCACTCCACCAGAGCCATGGCAGCCTCCTCAGCCTTCTCATTGGGCGTTCCACTGCTGGACGTCTGTAAAGTAGCCACATGGACAACTCCCTGTACTTTCACCAGGCACTACAGGCTGGATGTTCAGGCCAGGAAAGTTTGCTCCTTTGGACGGGCCGTCCTATCATCCATTCTTCACTGACGACACCGACCCACCTCCGGTGAGTGAAGCTTACTAATCACCCATTATGTGTGATGCACAGAGACCATGAAGAAGAAAGTCAGGTTACTTACCTGTAACTGTCGTTCTTCGAGTGGTCATCTGTGCAGTCACACAACCCGCCCTCCAGCCCCACTTGGTGTCGAGGGACGGGATGACAGTCTCTTTTTATCGACTTCTCTACGAGTGGCATGCTCCGCTAGGGGGCGATCTGCCGGTCTCCAGGGACTGAGGAAAATGGTGGGCACTCTGCTTTATATAGCACCAGAGGGGAGGGGTGTGGAGTTCCCACCAAAAACTGTTGCAGCTTAGGTATTCTGGCCAGCAACAGGCACTGCGCAGGCGCGGTACCAATTGTGTGTGACTGCACAGATGGCCACTTGAAGAACGACAGTTACAGGTAAGTAACCTGACTTTCTGTTTCTACTTCCTGGAGTGTGTTTGTGTATAATGTGTGTCAGTTCTCCTCTTTCTTGGAGCTGAGAACTTCTTGTTGAGAGTTGAGCAGAGGAGATATTAACAGAGATATCTGATTTTCCAATCTCTCTCCCTCCCCCTGTCCCTCCCTCCCCCCACATAGTCAAGTGAAAGTGCTCCAGACTTGCAAAGCCTTATCAAATGCTGGGTAACTGTGAGTAATTTATAATCCCCCCTTCCTATGTTTGGTTACAGGCATCAGCATTAGGGACAAAAATTATTGATGAAGATGGCTTATTTGATCTGATTCGGAATATGCCAGCCAAGAAATCCAAGTATGAAATAGCAGCTGAAGCAGAGGTTTGTACAAATTAATTTCCCACTGAAGGGAGTATCTTTTATGCCTCTATGAATGCATTCTTTCCTTTAAATGTAAAGTAGGGGTGCAAGCCTTTAGGTTCAAGGGTCAGATCCAGCCCTCTGGGCATCCCCAGATTGCCATACTCACTTTCCTCCAAATGTCTATTATTTGCTGGTTTCCTGGCTTTTGTGCAGTTGAAATATGCTTATGAAGGTTAGCTACTTACAACAGGAGCTTTTAGCTAAAATAGGCTGATATTTGGGAGTGGTTTCTTTGGACCTGGCTCCTTTTGGCTTAGACCTGCCCATCACTGGAATGCAGCCTGCTAGATCTCTAAAATGAAAGTTGGGCCTTGTGCTAAAATTGGTTCTACACTCTGGTATAAGCACAGTCAAGCAAGTTCCTTACACACTGAACCACATGAGCAAGGCAGTTGAAGGAGTATGCCAGCCTGTTAATCTCAAACCGCACAGAATCCCTGGAATGAGTAGTTTCTGAACAGATTCCCTTCTCCACCCACTGTGAGTGAAGGGACCAAAGAATGCTTGTTCTCAATAAACGCATTATGCCTTTCAATGTCGTTCCATTTTGTCTTGTCTGTCTCAACACCTTTATGTATTATGTAGGTTGGCACACTGGTGAAGCCTGTTGGTCCTAACTGTTGCCTTGTATGAATTCTTTGTTCATGTCTTTGCTTGAAAACTAGTCTTACAAAACTGATTTCATAGAGGTAAACCCCTAATAAGCTTCCACAGAAGTTGCAGGATTCCTAGGTATCCAGTTTACAAGCTGTTGTCCTAGAGCTTAAACCTGCATGTGTTCACTTTCTTTTGAAGGCAAAGAAAATGAAATCCAAGTGGGAGAAGACCCCACAAAAAGCTGCAACAGAGAAAACAAAAAATAGCCCTCTGAAGAAAGAGAGTGAACCCAAAAAGAAAAAATCTGCTCTTGAAAAAGAATTTACCCCTAAATCCAGCAATAAGGAAATTGTGGAAACAAGGAGGGGTCTGAACTTTGACCAGAAAAGTCTGGAGAAAAAGCATGTTCCAAAAGATGCTGAGAGCCCAATTCAAGAAAAAAGTGAAGGTGGAGCAGAGACATTATTATGGGTGGACAAATACAAGCCCACATCCCTTAAAACAATAATTGGACAACAAGGTGACCAGAGCTGTGCCAATAAACTCTTGCGTTGGCTTCGAAACTGGCATACAAATACTACAGAGGACAAAAATGGTAATTTTACAGTATATGATTCTTCTGGTGCTTTTCTGGAATTTTGATCATGTGTTGTTTATATAACTATGTATGTATGTAGCATGACTCAGTTCACACATAAAACCAATTGTATTGGTGGTGTGACTCAGTTGACAAGTAGCACCAACCCTGACACATGAATTGGTGGGAGTGAATGAGATCAAGCAAATGAACTGCCCTGACATGCTCCTTATTTCTCTTTCAATGAGCAATGTATAATTGCTGTGTTCTTAGTCAATAGCATGACCTTTGAACCTGGCCATTCTGGGATTTGTATTGGTTAACATCTGTTGCTGAGTTAACGGGGTTATTTAACCCCTAAAAAGCCCAGGGTTAACTTCTAGGTTGAAACGTCATGTTCACAGCCTATTAATGGGGCAGTCATAGATGGTTTACACTGACCTCACAGTGGATGCCAGAGACCGTGGTCTCACTTGTTCTTGCTCATGTCCAAATAATCATGCTTTAAGCATGGTTTGAACCCATGTTCAGATCTGCTCAGTATCTTCATGCCAATCTTTGGCCCAATTTGAAGATCACACCCAAATTTGTTTTGTTTTTATCAGTTACTTGTTCTGTAACGCCGACATACAAAGAAGTGAAGATTTTACTTTCTGAGCAGGTGTCATCATATTTCCCCATCCATTTATGCATTTATAAGACTGATACACTGGTCTTTGCCTGTCTTCCTTTTTGGTATTATATGACCTGATTGTGTAAACTTCATTTTCCTCACAGTAAAATCGAATAAATTTGGAAAGAAAGATGAAGGTGGTAGTTGGAAAGCTGCTTTACTCTCTGGTCCCCCAGGGATTGGTAAAACAACCACAGCTACATTAGTTTGTGAGGTGAGTTGTATGTTCACAAATGAAAAAGGCATGCATGTGAAGAATGTGAGAAATCAAACTCGTGGGGGATTTTCATTTGCTGAATGAAACAACTGATTTAGCAGCAGATGTATTCAGTATTTTAGTACTGTAGTGGGCCTTGATAGCTGCTTTCTCGCTGAAATCTCTTGGTCAAGAAAGGCCAATGTTACAAGAAAGGGCTCTGTGTAAGAGCAGCCAGATATGCCTAATGTGAATTCTGAAGGTTTTTCTGAAAAGGAATTGAACACTGGAGAAGATAACTGTTAAATATGTAGGCTGGCTTTCTTTCTCCGCTTATCTTTCAATTCCCTAGGAATTGAGGGAAGGAGGGGAAAATGTTTTCCATTTTTCCATTAGAAATTGTGGGTTGGATCCAGCATCTGCCTTATGTGGGAGGAAGGGACCTTCTGCCAGAAGGAGAGACCTCCATTGAGAGGAAGGGCATCACTTGAAGAAGGTTCTGTCCAGTTGTGAGAGATCTTCCCATTCCCCCCTCTTCCCAGATCTGCTCATATTTATCACACTTACTTGACCTTCTCCTGTGGGAAGAACTGAGCAGAGAAATCTATTCCCATCAGTGCAGTTGACATGGCATAAATCTGGATCCAGCCCTAGATTTTTACTGTTATTTCTGCTTTATAGCCCCAGTGGAGTTTCAAGCTGAAATCACAATGTTACTTTTAATTTATAAATTTATAATCACAATATTATTTTTAATAGTGAAATGTTAATGTCCTTTAGCATTCTGTTCTGTGTGTCACATCACTCTATTTAGTTGACTATTTTGAGCGAACTGCCAGGTCAGAAACCAGCAACTGTTTAGAGCCAACTGTCTTTCTCTCTGGTTACGCTATTACATTGGTGGCTAATCACAAACATATTTAGAAATTGCCTTGGGCCAGTAACTAGTGATGATCCAGAATGATACTTGACTTTCTAAATGTACTGCTTTACTCCCAATTGTCAACCAGGACACAAATGGTATATAAAGGACTGGGGACTATGGCTATGAATTTTGTTAGCAGATCACTTTGGGATTATTGGGAAAGGCTTCTGTGTAAAACTATTTAGTACAAGCAGTTTTTGTTAGTGTATTTTACTGTCTTATTTTTGTGTTGGGATTAGGAACTGGGTTTGAGCTATGTGGAATTAAATGCCAGTGACACTCGCAGCAAGAACAGCCTGAAGGAAATAGTTGCAGAATCGTTGAATAACACCAACATTAAAGGATTCTGTTCAGGTAGCCTCATTTTTTGCTACTTACTTAGCTAGAATAATTAGGTACACTAGTTGGGTTTAATTTACATTTATTCCAGCAATGCATTAAAGTCTATAAATGTTTCTTCAGTCCCAAAAAATGTTACCAGCCCACCTCCCTATTTCAAGTCCAACTTTTATCAGCAGTAGCATTAATAGAAAGGCACAGGGATGAGATTTTTCTTCAGTCTCATTCTGTTTCTCTGTTATTGCAGGTACATCATCGTCAGTCAGTACAAAACATGTCCTGATTATGGATGAGGTGGATGGAATGGCTGGCAATGAGGACAGAGGAGGTATACAGGTAAGATAAAAAGTTGTGGGGGCATCAGGTATCAGGAGTCAAATGGTATGAACTTGATTGGAAGCATAGAGAATTGACCATTCAGAGCTACTCTTCAGGCAGAAATAATTGGAATAAACCAGTTATTAAATAAACAAACCAAAATTAACTGGAATAAACTGGAGCTTATTTGTGTTTGAGAGTGGCTTAATCAACATGTAAGTTCACTCTGAGCTGATAGAAATACAAGTCCCTCTGTAGTTATGAGATGGAACATCCTTGGTGGAATGATGCTGTCCTTCTTGCCCTTCTTTAGGATCAAATTCATTTCTAACTATTAATTAATGTTAAACATGTCAACATCAAACTTAATCACAATTAATGCAAACCAATATCTGAAACCAATTAATTAGCCAATATTGGAAACCAAATTTTTCTGGTTAAACAAGAACCTTTGCTCTAAGGTCAACATAAAAAATTCTTGTGAATTGTTGTACCAAGGAAAAAAATCTAGCTCTCAATTTTAATCAGTGATTAAGAGTTAACCTTGTTTTATGTTTGCTTGTTTTGAATTTACTCTTCATATGGTAAGAACAATTGGAAGCAAGATGAAAACTTTTCATCTATTCAGGAATATAAGCATTTTTCTACATAACTTGGAATTTCCAGAACTTTTGCACCTAGCCTTTAAAAACACAAGTCTACTTAGTCATTCAATGTTTTGCCTCTGTGTGCTTTTTAGAAAAATATTTTCTGTTTTGTGCAGAACTCTTTTACTTACGTGTGCTCTCTGAGAAAGTCTCAGATATACTTTATTATATCAAATGGGTCTAATAGAAATGGCTTGCCTTATATCAGTCATATTTTAGTAGCAGCATTTTGAATTATTAATCAACCGACCCAGGGTAAGGCTTGGCAAATGGCATCAACTTTCGTAGTGGTCAGTACTGTCTGTCCTGCACTGCTCTGTTCACAGTGGTTTTTCAATTTCTAATTGCAGGAACTGATTGACCTGATCAAACACACAAAGGTTCCAATAATTTGCATGTGTAATGATCGGAACCACACAAAGATCCGTTCCCTCGCCCATTACTGTTTTGACCTCCGCTTTCAAAGACCACGTGTGGAACAGATTAAGGTAGGTAGCTGAGTAAGACTGGGTTCAGATGACATGCTGCAGTTTGTCATGGGTTATTTAAGAGCTGCAGTGCCCTTGGGTACCAAGTTGAATATGTAACCTTACTCAGGCATTGTGTTATATGTACCCAGTGACCCTGGTTATGCAGCAGTTGCTTAAGCTTTGCATAATCCAGTCTCATCAGGTTCATACCAGACAACATCCCTGAGTTGGGGTTGCATTGTTGAAATAACAGCCACAAGCACACCATGTATTGCAGACTCACTGTGGCTTAAATAAATCATGGTGGGCTGTTGTGGGGCTAACAGCCCCAAAGAGTATGCATGGGCTAGCTTAAGATGAGTCAATGAAAATGGCCTCTCTGAATCAGAACAAAGGTCTATCTAAAAGCGGCCAGACAAGGGGTTTCTAGGAAGCTTATACACAGGGTACAGTGATGACAAGCATCATCCTTTTAAGAAATGCCATAAACAAACAAGCAAATAAATCTCATGACTGGGGAAGACTGGCTGTAATGGCTAATGGTCACTGATAGAGTTAGTCCTTAATTAAATATGTTTAACTGCCTGTATCCTTATGAGCCTATCCAGACAATCATTGCTGTAGGCCCAATTCCTTGACCTGTCACTGAAAGATGTCAGGCAGATAGATAGTCTTTTTAAAATAGTGCCTATGGAAATTAGTCCTAGAAAACTGTGTGGCAGTAAGGGTTTTATTTTTTAACAAGCTTTTGTTTCAGTCTCTTTCATTTATTGCTATCCTTGGTTTGATTTGTAAAGTTCATTTTTAGGTTTGTATGTTCTTTAAATTAAGGATGCAAGAGGGTTATGTTTTGGATGAGACCAAAGACCTATCTAGCCCATCATTCTGTTCACACAATGACTAACTGAATACTTGTGAGAAGGAAATAAAAAAGGAAGTAAAGACTAACTGAACACCTCTACTGCAAGGCACTCAGTCTCCTGGGGCCTGATGATTTTTAAAACCAGTCTTAAGATTTTCTTCTAGTTATTATAATTTTTTTAAAAAACCTGTTTCCTTTTGGTTTAAAATTTTGCATTGTACATTTTATGATATTTAAATATGCTGTGTTTTATATTGTATTTTTAATGTGCTGTTGTGAAACACCCAGAGAGCTTTGGCTGTTGGGAAGTATATAAAATAAGTAAATAAGCCCACATAAGTACATGAGCACAATAGCACCTTCTTACTCGTGTTGTGCTGCAGCTGGTATACAGAGTACTGGCTCTGATACTGGAGGCAATATATAGGGATCATATCGATATCAGGATTAATAGTCGTGCTTTATGTATTATTATGTAGTCATATTTGGAAATTTGTGAAGGCTGTATGCTCTAAAGCAATTCAGGAAGAGTATTTCCACAGTCCTGCAGATAGTATGAACTAGAGCTGAGTGAAAAAAAGAAATGTTGATTCTTTAAATTCAAGGGCAGAAATACTCTAGCTCCTCTTCTGGAAGGGTCTACCTTCCTTTCTGTCACCTAAGAATGGCTACAGGATTAAAGATGTACCGATCACTGGATTGGAATGTATACCAGATTTTTCTCCTCCAGTCTGGTTTTTCAGAGCGGCCATCTACTGCTTAAGTCAGAATGGGGTGACTGATCCCATTCCTAATCCCATAGATTTGCTTATACCTTTGTAAAGTATACTTTTTGAGTTATTTTTAAGATGCACTAGCATAAAAATTCTATCTCTTGTCTACTGATCTGGAGCATGTGTGTGCCTATTTTAAGATTTAATATTCTGTAGACAGTGATTATTGTTGTAATTTTTTTCTATTTGTCTACTGCTTCTTTCTTTTTTTGCCTGTCCTTAAAAATATCTTTTTTGCAGGGCGCTATGATGTCCATCGTCTTTAAAGAAGGGTTAAAGATTCCACCACCAGCAATGAATGAAATCATCTTGGCAGCTAATCAGGATATCAGACAAGTGAGCTCTTTTCCAATACCTGTCTTTTTGTTCTGCTCTTCCAATAACATGCAGATAGTTTACAGATGTCTTATGGACTAAGAATAACAAGGGGCAGAAATGTGAATATGAGAAAGGATGACAGTAGAGAGGTGTAGGAGAATGGAAAGGTTAGGGACTTTGGTAGGGGACATTTTGCACACGTAGACCTGGAATATTCATTGGTTGATAGGAATTGAGGTAAAGGTGTGACTTCCACCAGAAGTAGGATTGAAAAGGATGCAAGTAATGGAACACAAAGGCCATATTGAAATATCATGCTGTTATGGTTTTACATGATGGAAATTAGCTTTGGGCTCATATACTGCTCCCTTTCCAGTGCAGTCATTAATAGCAATTTGGAAGCTTTTCCTTCTGGTCTAAATTAATTGGAAGCATGTCATGTCATCCAAATCTGACAAACTGAAGATCATCAGTTTGTTAAGAAGCTTTTCTAAACAAATCATAGTTAACATTAAACATACCTTAGGGCTTGGATGGCATGCTGATCTGCAGTTAATCAAAAGCAAAATGTTCCAAGTTCCTCACAGCTGTGTCAAAGGGAGTTGGAGGGACATGTGTGAGCCTGAAGCTCACTGTAGCTCATTTGACATCAGGCCGGCGGGTGGCCAGTCTTGCCCAACGGAAGAGCCACGTATGGTAAATGTCAGGTGTTTGGGAGCTGCAAGCAGTGAGCAGCAAGCCTCAAAATAAAAGAGCCACATGTGGCTTGTGAGTCTCAGTTTGGCCACCCCTGCATGACATCTGAGTGCAGTCATTATATATGCAAATTGTATGTGCTTGAGTCCTAGTATTACTGGGACCGGGTAAGTTGCAAAAGCAAAGGATTTGTCAGGGAGTTACCATGAAACAATTGCTGAAAGCGATGCAACAAGACCTGGAACCTTTTTAGAATAAGGACAAAGAGCTGTCTTGTAAAATAAATGTAATGAGAAGTATTGATTTCTAGTGTATTAAAATTAATGCTCTGTTAAATAAACTGCTTACATTCGTCCACATGAGGTGCTTCTAGCAAACTAACCATTTTATTTTGCATTCTAAGGTTTTACATAATCTTAGCATGTGGTGTGCAGGAAACAAAAGCCTGACTTATGATGGTGTGAAAGAGGATGCCCACAAAGCAAAAAAGGATATCAAGCTGGTAAGAGTGAAAGTTTGGTGAAAGGCCATGTCGGCAGTACTTGCTTTGGCCTGGGATCTCCAAAAATGAGGCATTTCTTGGAAATGGAAGTTGTACTTTAGGCTGATTTCAGAATTGTTAGAATTGTGGCATCAAATATCACTTAAAAGGCACAAATCCGAGGAAACTTTTAAATGATAAAGGAATCTGCCTAAAATTCTGTAGTTTTAAAGGATTTCTTTTTGTATAACAGCATTGGAAAAAACGGGTTGTAATGAATGACAGAATTTCCATGTTCTAGGTCTTAACCTAGTGACTCTTTCGATAAATCATGAGAGAGTGAGTAAATGTATGGCTATACAAGACCGGCCAGACCAAGCAAAATGGTGGAGGGATACATGAGCAGGAGGTCTGCTGCCTGAGTTAAAGGCCTGTGCACACACCACTTGCATGAACATGAACAGGAGGTTGTGGTTGCACTTCTGTCCTTCAACTAGTTGGCCACTGTGGGAACAGAATCCTGGACTAGAAAGACTCTTGGTCTGATGCAGCCAGCCTTTCTTATGTTCTTACATAAAGTAGTGCAAAATGATTATAAGGCAAGTTCAGAACTTACTTATCTAGTAACGTTTACATTTTCCCGATGTTCTGACATAGTCCTCATAGTTCTCAGAGAAACAAGTAGCAAAATGCATTTAGAAATGTGTATTATGAAATAGAATATATTTTAGAATGCTTTCCTTTGCCTTGCACATGCAAGTGTAGATTTTAAGTACGATTTGCAGACTGTAATGTGACACCAGAATGGAAGGGTCTTGAGCTATTGCCATCCTTTGGTTTTGTCTTCATATTCTCCATTCTAAATTGCTGGTATGGTTTAATGTAAAAGCCACTGTAGCAGATCTTTGCACAGATAGTGCCAAGCACCTGGGGCTAATCTGAGTAATCCCTACCTGACCTTTCTTTGATGGTAAATATTTAAACTTTTTTTTGTAGGGCCCTTTTGATGTTGTCAGAAAGGTTTTTGCTACAGGTGAGGAGACCTCTCATATGTCCCTTATTGACAAAGCAGACCTGTTCTTCCACGATTACTCTCTAGCACCGCTCTTTGTCCAGGAGAACTACATACATGTGAAGCCAGTTGCTGCCGGGTATGTTACAGTCTTACTTGTCTGAATGATGTTATCAAGATTTAGTGAAATTCATTTAGTATTGATTAATGTGGACCATAATTCTCTCCCTCAGGAACAATATGAAGAAACATCTGATGTTGCTTAGCAAAGCAGCTGACAGTATATGTGATGGTGACTTAGTTGATCAGCAGATCCGCAGTCGACAAAACTGGAGCCTTTTACCCACACAGGTTAGCCACTTTTTTAGCTTCTGGTGCATATTGAATGGCCATTTCAGGGTATCCGTTGCTGCTTTGTTACAGGCTGTGAATTCAGAACATGTCCACAATCTAAGCCTTATATACAAAGCATACTTTGTGTCTTCAAGCAGTGTTGTAGTTTCTGATCTATTGACCCAAATGAAATGTATCTATCATGAAAGTTATTATCATGGAAGAGTGCTGCTACTTGTTTTGATAGCTTTCGTTATATAAATCAAAGAGTAAGCAAAAGGGTATTTTGTGTGTGGAAGGAAAAATAGCAAATTTATTTGGAAAGTTGTTTGCTACTGTTTGTTTACCATTGTGCTGTTTACCATTTTAGTGTGGTTGAATTGCCAACCAATGGAAATCTGAAACAATGGAATCCAGCAGTTGTGCTTTTGCAAATTCTGAAGTCACAGTGTCCAGGGACTTTTTGTAAAATACTGTGTGTTTGATCTTTCCCCCCGGTATCAGAACATTAGAAACAAAGGTTTTATGTTCCTTGTAGGAAAATTCAGTATTGGCCAACAAAAAGGAATACTGATTTCCGCAACCATGGCAAAGACCACACTGTTACCTTTATGGTATTTACATATTGGTTTCAAGCTTTGTGCAAACTTTGTCTTTAAATGTTTGTTGTGAAAACAATATCCTATAATCTGGGGTGGGAATGAGAGTGGAGAAAGCAAGAGGAGTAATTCAGTAGTGGTAATGGGGCTACTGCTTTCTTCTATGATCATTTTCAACCATTACTTTACATTTGCCTTGGGTAGTTTTCTGTGTCTTCTGTGCACTGTTTTGCAAAATAATTGTGTGGTTGTGTTTTACTGCATTTATGTTCCACCTATTACCCTCTTGTGAAGATCATGAGGCAGCTTGCCATTTTATCTTCCCAACAACTCTGGGACGTAGGTTAGGTTGAGAGTGAGTGACTGACCCAAAGTCACCCAGTGAGCTTTGTGGACAAGTGCGACCTGGATCTCTCAGGTTTTCAGTTCAATACTCTAACCATCACACCACACTGCATTCTAGTCTCCATTTAAAACTGATTGTTCTCTCTGTAATTTAGGCCATTTATTCAAGTGTTCTTCCTGGGGAGCTAATGAGAGGCTACATGAGCCAATTTCCAAACTTTCCAAGCTGGCTGGGAAAATTTTCATCAACAGGAAAGCACGACCGCATCATTCAAGAGTTATCAATGCACATGAGTCTCAGGTAAAAGTAGTCACCTGCTGCTGTCTTCTGATTGTGGGGTATTATTGGAGCCCAGACTCCAGTTAGTAGTCACAGTATATGGCAGCCTTCATCTTTGAAGCATATTTTCTTTACTGAAGAAAAACAAATGGAAGTATGTACTTCTGGCATTTTTCTAGGCCAAAATAATGGTGTGTCTTTGTCATTTATTTTTAATCCTACTCCTCAGCTAAAAAAGGCTCCTGGAGTGGATTGCAATAAAAAAGACACAATGCAGAAGAAAAAGGAGATGGGAAGGGAAAATTAAATGGTCCTGCTGCACCTCTGACCTTGTGAGCTGGGGTAGGGGCACAACAATGGGAGCAGGCCGTGATGTTCCCTTCTGCCTGCTCCTGTCTGCATTACTCCTTTGTTACTACAGCACAACTGACATATATAAACCATTATTCCTGACACTGCCAGTTGTGCAGCCCCACATAGTATCAGACTGTAGTTTCTGACACTCTAGAAAAGAGAGGGTGCCCTGCTAAAGAAAGGGTGAGATGGATGAAAACTCTGCACCAGTCTGTTGCATCAGTCTATTTGCTCCTGAATACCTTACTTACTTGTCTATACAGTGCAGTCTTCCCCAACTTGGTGCCCCCTGGGCAAATTGGACTGCAACTCGCATTATTCCCAGCCAGCATCATGCTGCTTGTGGATGATGTGCTTTGCAATCCAGCACCTCTGGGGGCACCAAGCTGGGGAAGGCTGACATGGCTTCAGTTGCTGAGCTGAATGAAATTGAATGGTGTGACCAGAAGATTCAAGAAAGAGGAGCTATGATATGGAACTCATGATTCATAATTTTCATCCCAAGGGATCTTAGTCCCATTTGATTCTAAATACTGCAGCTCCGCAAGGTCTTAAGCGGAAGTTTTTCCCAGTCCTCCTTTTAGCTGGAAATGCTAAGAAATGAATCTGGGTTCAAAGCATGGACACTACTCAGCTTCATACAAGCTTAGTAATGGGAAAGTCAGTAAATACTTTTCTTTTTTCCCTAAAGGACACATGCAAGCAAGAGAGCAATAAATCTTGAATATTTGCCATACATAAGAGATGCAATTGTGAGACCTTTGAGCCACTTGGGAACAGAAGGAGTACAGGATACTATAGCATTCATGGATTCTTATTGCTTGATGAAGGAAGATGTTGAAAACATAATGGAAATAACCAGTTGGGGAGGCAAGCCTAGTGCATTCTCTAAAGTAGATTCCAAAGTAAGTTAATCTTTACTATTTCCAGATGTATAGCCCACCTAAGAAGCAATGGTACCTAAGTAGCTGAAACAGATCATTTCAAGGAATTTTGTTAGTCGCTTTGGCGATATAAAAGAAAGTTTTGTAGAGAATTGGGAAAGGGTTTAAAAAAAATCATACTCTTCAACTATTTCTGTTATTTCTTGTATGTTGGCCTTATTGGAACAAAGGTGAGAAACCTTTATAGGGCTTGCTTTGTGCCAATGAAACTGCTATTGTGTCTGTGGGATGTTCACCAGCAGAGCTTGCCAAGTGGTGGAATCTTTTATACTCTGGCAACTTTCAAAGGGCTGCTGTGACTAGTTGCATTGTACTTTATAAATTGCTTATATCCATCCTGACTTAGATGCTACATTTTGACAAAGTTGAAGAAGTTGTGGCTGGGATATGATCTGGTCAAGTTGTTTTGGATGTGCTTCACTTTGTGTAACTTGAAGGTGTGGACAAGCTGCTTGGAAGTTTGAGACCTATCACCTGTGCTCTGGACCTTTGACCGTCCTTGCTATTAAAAGTTGCTGGAGCTGTGCTTACTGTCTAGACCTCTGAAGCAACAAACTTTTCATTAAAGCAAGGGTCATGCTTGGACTTGGTAGTCTTGGGAAAATATCACCCGATGTAAAATGATCTATTCCAAAGCAAGGTTATGAAAGAGGGAGGGTGTGTATGTGTCCTGTATCCAGGCATTCTTAAATGATACTGATAATTAGGATCTATTCCAATTTTACTTTTGGCCTGGCCACGAAACAGAGATAACCTTTGTAGCCTGGTGGGTGGTTTACACTGGAGGACTGGTAAAGAGAGTGCAAACTCTTGCTGTGTTTTGATATAGTCAACTGTCTTACTGGCCTGGATGGATTTAGAGTAGAAGGCATAGCATTAAACTAACAGTATTCCTTTCTACTGGAGGTGCCTTTGTTAGGAAGCCTCATTTATTACAGAATATGGCTGCCCATATGCTTGTGGGGCTTGGTGCTCAGAACATGTCACTCCAATACTGTATCATCTGTGCTGGCTGCCTAATTGCTTTTGAGCCTAATTCATTTTAAAACTTAAAGGCCTACATTACTTGGGACCAGGTTATTTGATGGACCACTTTTACACATATGAACTACTTGTACTCTTAAGACTGGTACTGGAGGTCCAGGTAGTGGACCAACAAAAAAGTATAATCAGCCTGTTGAGGATGCAGTACAGGTATGTTTGGTGGTGCTTCTTGTCTACTTCCTCTCTTGATATGTTTTATTATTTTCATTTCTATTCTGCCCAATAGGCAAAGCTATCTGGGAAGTTCACAATTCACAAAAAGTTAAGACTGGCTTCTCTTTTCTCATTTAGACAAGCCATGAAGACATGTTTGTTTCATTCTGCCTGTGACTGAGGATAGGCTGTAAGCTATTGCACTGGGTTAATTTTTTCCTGTGATTAGCTTAGGCTGCTTTTGTTAATTACTAAGTGGCTTTTTGCTGGTTTATATATTATCATTCATGGAATTTTAGAATTGCCCATAACCTCCCTAGGTAATTGGTCCCATTGCTGCATTGCTTTAAGAAACAGGAACCTTTTTCCTGATGTCTAGCCAGAATCTGGTTTTCTCTAACTTAAGCCCATTATTCCATGTCCTGTATCCTGGGATGATTGAGAAGAGATCCTGGCCCTCCTCTGTGTGACAATCTTTCAAGTATTTGAAAAGTGCTATCATATCTCCCCACACTTTGCAACTGACGAAGTGGTTTCCATTCCACAGAAGTTTTATACCATGGTAAAGTTGTTAATGCATAGCAGATTGCATAAACCTGAATTAGAGGAATTTTTTACAGGATATAGATAAGACCCCTTTTCCTACTTTTCAACAAAATGTATCACTTTATGGTTTTCAAACAATGCTACCTTCATGAAACACTTGCCACATCTTAGAATCTATTTGTGTTATGGAAGATTCTGAGGCATAGGGTAAAATCCCAAATCTATTGGCAAAATCCTGTTTTTAAAAATTTTTTTTTTTAAAGCAGAAAAACTTCAGTGGGTTCCATGCATGGGGTTCAAGCCTGACGGACTTGTCCATTATTTCATGTAAATAGAGTGTATTCTTTAATGTGCCACTTTCCTGGTTTTGCACATTACCAGAAAAGGCTGGCAGTGTTGGTGGATAAGCTTCCTTGGTCTTTCACTGAGGGACTCCATGTAAGGTTTCCAAGGTACTCAAGTTCTGTCTTTCACTTGAAACAGGTTAAATCAGCTTTCACACGAACCTATAACAAGGAGGTGCATCTTACACCATATTCACTGCAAATAATACAGAAGGCAAAGTGGCGAGCGGGGTCTGTTGCGGATGGCGAACTGGATGAAGGCGCTGAAGCTGATGAATTCCAATCTGAGAAGGAGCAAGAAGGTGTTGAAAATGATGCAATGATTAAGGTAACATTTTCAGCTGATTTTGTAGTTAAAAGAGTACTGTTGTAACTGAAAATCAGACCACCTTTTAGGATTCACATAAACCAGGGACTGATCCAGTCCATCTCATCAACTATCTATCTTTGAACTTTCTTATAAAGTCAAGTTACATGTACTGGCTTCAGTACTGAAGCCTGTCTATTATTTGTTCTTAGTTGCCCTATCCTTTACCTATTTTCCCCTCATCCTCTTCGCCTTCCTAATGGGATAAAGCTGTGGGTGACATGGGGCATTTTTTAAAAAAATATTGTATTGTGCATGTTTATAGAAATTAAAAGTTGTAAAATGTTGCAAGCCTAAATATTAAAATGTATGCTAGGGACTGTTCCAATATGCATTTTAAAGTTAAAACATTTTCTTCCCTGCAGAAAACGTCTGCTAAGCAACCCACCTCAGAAAGAACAGAAGAGAAGAAAAAGGGCAAAGCAAAGAAAAAGTCTAAGTGAATTGTACAGTGCTAAAAATGACCAGCTATGCAAACTGGACAGTATTTTTTTTTAATACTGGGCTGTGGATAAAACTAATGTGCTGACAAAGCGCTTGCTTATTGGTGATATGACTGCTTTGTTTTATTGCCAGTGCACAAAAATGAAAACATGTAATATACTGACAAAACGTAAATGAGACTAACCAGAGACTCTAATTTCTGATTAGTGTAAATATACTAAGAGGCTTAGCAGCATCTGGGAAAGAGCACTGATCTCTCGCGTATAGTTAATATTTCATCTTTACAGAGCGCCTGATATTTTTTTAAGGTAACCATTATGTCATGTATATAGTATGTAATGAACAAACTGGATATTTCTTTTGTACATGAGAGTGCAGCAATATGTAAAAGTTGCAATAAAACTAGTTTCCTATTTTAACCAATTTAACTTTCATGTAAATTATGTGGCAGCATCTTGGCTCACACCTATACAGAGATAGGGCTCTAACCCTGGAAGAATATGTTGGAGATCCACTCCCAGTCCTCCTTGCAACCAGTGCAGAAAGTACCATGCTGGCTGTCCTCTGAATTTGGAAACTAGACCTTGGAGAGAGAGAAGGCATTCTGCTAGGCCAAGTTACATGAGCCTTTGCCTGCCTCCTTCCTTCCCTCACCAGTTTGGCTATAAAAAGCCTAGTGAAATATCCAGGGTGTGAATATGGAAAGCAAAGATTGCCTCTGCCCTTTCTCATTCTGCATTTGATAATCAGAAGCTTCCAAGTTCAGAGCCTTTCAATCATCAAGAGTATAACTGATAGGACTGCATTCTGAAATGCTTTTCTGAAGCTGCCACTAGGTTAGGCTAAATGAACAGTACCTTTAGTCTAACTCTCACTTAACCATGAAATTCTCAATTAAGCTAGCCTAAAATCAGGCCCCATTTCTTGCATTTTATAGCAGGCTTAATATCACATTAAATAAAAACCAAGAAGGTGATAGCATTTCTGTGAATCAGAGTAACAGGCAAATAAAAGATGGAGGTCAAAAGAGCAAGGAACAAATTCAAAGTGTGAAATGCTACCAGCTGTAGATTTATAAACTTGAAAACACTTTGTTTAGCAGTTAAATTTTATTGAAAATAGGAAAAGCCATAGTACAAAATTTCTATAAAAGATACAGATAGAACTATGAAATAATTTCAAGCATAGTACCAACTGGGCTTAAACTCTGAAGTTTTCTCTGTTGTTGTAGTACTTCACTGGCTGGTAGCTCCTAAAACAAACATAGATATTATGCTACAAACAGCTATACAAGCCTCAGAATTCACGGCTTTAGTAGTATTGGAATAAGTCATACATTATCTAAAAATACTTCTTTTCATATATAAAGTGGCAATTAATGGCATAGCTCATTGAGAAAAGACCACAGTATACAAATGCTATCCAAGATGAGCAACACGTGCATTTGTGTGAACTCTTGCTGAGCTGTATCCTACATCCTACTGCTGTTCAGTGATTCTTCATTATCTAAACAGATAAACCCAAAATATACCAAACATAATGCTTAAAGTGGAAAAGGCATTTTGGTGCAGGTCTGACTTATCCTCATTAAAGATGGCTAAACTGTTGATATTTGTAAAAAGACCTGTGTTTCTGTCAATAAGATACTCGTACTTCATGGCCTAGGTGTAATAAGAAAACTTGGGAATCATAAACATGGGAAGTATTCAAAACACATAGTTTCACATCAGTCACTTGAAATGTACTACATAATTTTGCAGAGAACTGGCTTCCTCTGCCCCAGAGGCTGCAGGATACTTTGAGTGACAGCAAAAAGCTCAGTGAGGCCAGAGAACAAACTGAAAGGGAGGAGTCAAGACTTCTGGACCAAAGCAAAGATTCTTGGTCATGTGATCCCTGGCTTGCCCTGCAGTATGGGTGGTATACCCATCCTAGATGGATCCTCACATGAAACGGGAATAGAAATACTGTATATCACTAGTACCATCCTGATACTGCATGCCCTAAACCCTGACTGTTGCAAATGTATTTTGAAGCTCTGTAGCTGGGTACATATGCATGTTCAGTACCCTTAAGTGTACAGCGTTCCAAAGCACCTAAGTGTGGTGCAGTGTTCATTCTATGCACAAAGGTTGGTTCACAGGCCAGCTAGGCATCTGATGCCTCGGATGGGGTTGGCAGCATAGCTGTATTCTTTCTCTGTGTGTGCAATTTAAACATGAAGTGAAGAGGACTGCCATGTCTGAAAGAAACACACCTAGCCTAGTTTCCTGCCTCACACATTCATTTTCTGCATGCAGGAAGCCTGTAGGGTATCTTTGACTGACAGGTTATCATTTTAGACACTAAATCCTAACCCAAACCTATTTTTTCTATAAGTTGCTATTTAGTTTCCAGAAATTAATACTGCATTTGAAATACTTACTTGACTGATATCACTGTTCTACTTCAGGCCTGAGGTATGGTGCACAGTCAACTGTTTTCTTAAGACTGATAACATCAACCTTTTCTGAACACATGGGACATGTACTTTCAGTCTGTAACAAACTGTTTCATGGAAAATAACACAGATGCATCAAATAATTTATGCAAATTCCTTAAAGCAGATCATTTTGGAAAGTTTGGCTCAACTTAGGAAAGTTTTCTGTTAAACCAAACACTTCATGGATGGAAGTGATACTAGTAGCCTACAAGCCTTTATGTCCTACGAAGTAGTATTACCAACATGCTCACATTTTGAAGCACTTGGCATTTTCAGAGCAGGAACAAAAGGTTATTCCAGCCAATTAGAGAGCCAGTGTGGTGTAGTGGTGAAGAGCATGGAACTGGGACTCAGAGGATCTGGGTTCTAGTCCCCGCTCAGCCATGGAGCCAACTGGGTGACCTTGGGCCAGTCACAGACTCTCAGCCCAACCTACCTCACAGGGTTGTTGCTGTGGGGATAAGATGGAGGAGAGATGATATAAGCTGCCTTGAGCCCTTTGTAGGAAAAAGGCAGGATATAAATTGCAAAATATATATGAATCATATAGTGAATGTAATGTCATGTTAAACAATACAATTTCTCTATATGTTGAGTTCACTGAAGATGAATAAAGGTATACATTGAAACATTAAAAAAGTAAATCTTCCTGATCAGGTTACAAGGATGATCCTAGCCAACCTTCACTAATTAAAATATTGCAATCCCAAACATACATGTGCATGTTCAGCTTGGCCCTAACTGTGGTGAAATCTCTGGAAGAGACCGATTGGCTTAATTATCCTAAAGTCACAAAAGTGCAGGGCAGACAAATTCTCCCTGGAAGGGCTGAAACATTTAGAGGTAAAGGGAAGTGGAAGGGCTTGAGAAGTAGCATGAAAGTGGCCTACTAGGATAAAAGTAATAGAATAGAAATGAGTCAGTTGAAAGGAAAACTAGGAAAGAAGTGGATGGAAAGGAGAGTAAAGGCCCAGGAAGTAAGGAAGTTGAATGCTGAAGTTCACATTTTGATCTGCCATGTACTATTAGACAATGTTCATCTGCAGGCCTCTAGTATAGATTGAGCTGAACTGCTATCTTCGCTTTGGTAATGGAAGACGTCCTAGGGTTGAATCCAGATTCAGTCATACTTAAGAGCAGATCACTTGAAATCAAGGGTACATAGGTTGTAAGGTACTCTAGGCATGACTAAGTCTAGATCCAGCATCTTGTTTTCAAGCAGGATGAAGAAGATTCCAACTTACTTTCTGAACTCTGAATACAGGGCAGGGAAGTCACAATGGGGGCACACCGTCCAGTCATCTTTTACCATATGTCGCCCCTAGAAGGAGTGGAATAATTAAACCTGATGGACACAGGACAACTGTGAAAAGGGACATGGCCAACATATGCCATAAGTGTCTTGGCTCTAAACTAAAGACACTTAAGCCACAATCCTATGCACACTCATTTGAGTCTTACTGAACTCGTGTAAGACTGCTGTATTAACTGGGGGCAGGCATCACAAAGTGCTGGATTGCAAGCGACAGCTTTGGCATTCTATTTGGTACTTACTGTTGCAATGCAATACGGGAGGTTGTTCTTACACCCAGGGCAGAGAAGCTCACATTCGGGCAGCATGAATTCACAGTATGGACATGGGCTGGTTGGTTCTTCACCCTCTGATGTGTCAGGCCGTCTTTTTAGGTGAAAGGAAAAAGCCCATTAAGAAATTTAAATACCATCAGTTTATAATAATCTATAAAATGGCAAAACTGCTCTTCTTGACTAAAGATGCTTAGTGTGAACTGAAATTACACTGAGCCTTTGCTCCTTTTACATGAATCTTCAACATGCTATTTAACTCTCAGGCCCATTTTCAATTTTATTTTTGGCAGCTAGGAACCTTCCTGCGCCAAACACAAATTACAAAACCAATCTGGCAGTTTCATAAGCATATAGGGACAAGTGTAAAGATTTAACCTCTCTTCCGCACATTGCTGAACCCATCACCCTGGGAAAATTTTCAGCTCTGGAATGCTAAGACATCAAGAAGTTAATTTCCAACATTATATTTTGGGACCAGTTAGAATTTTGAAAGTAGCCTTTTTGTAAAATGCCTGTAATTCATCCTCTTTCCAACCCAACATTTCAGCAGGTGGACTTTGTAATATGGCTATGACTACAAAAAGCTTTCTTAGACTCTTTTAGCAACAGGTGGATTTGCACATCACACTAAGACAGCCTGCAAATAAGCTACACAACGTGGGTTGTTAGAACAATTTAATGGTGTACCTGCAACTTTTGTTCTTCCCCTCCTCCTTGGTGCTCCATTGATATACCAGTGTCCTTTACAGTAGAACTGATTTTGCCCTCTCTCACTGCTCTAATTGCATCCCATTTTTGTTTACCACTGTGCGTAATTTTGGAGACTCAAAAATGCATAACTGGATCATTTCTTGTTTTAACTTTTTAAAGAAAACTGAACAATTGGGTTTGGATTATTATTTTTGTTGGTCTTTCACAGGTGCACTAGTGTGCACTTACAGCTTCTAATATGTGTACTCTTGCCTAATCAGTAGCCTTCCAAGTTTCAGCTGTCAAAGTGGAGTGGGAGAAGAGAGGAAGAGGAGTAGAAATTGACAAGGACACTGCATATATGATTTTTCTGCACACAGTTTCTAGCTATTAAGTGCCTAGCTGCGATACGGAGATAGTGACAATATATTCCACTTTAGTAATGTAATCCTTTGGTTTTTAAGTGATGAACTGACAGTTCTTATGGGACTCTATAATGTCAACACTTCCATTAGTTTCTCTGAACTACAGGAGAAGGGAGACAGCAACTTCCCCCCGACCACCACTTTTTGGAGCACTTGTGCACATGGAAAATCTGACAAAATATGATGATCTGTTGCACAATTTTCTGGGACCAGTTGTTTTAAGAAGGGTACTGACCAGT